TTTTTACACGGTAGATTGGATCTAGAAGAAGCCGTGTAAAAAAGACATGCTATTCACATTTGCTTTGACCGGTAAAAATTGTTTGTACGTGCTAAAGGGGAATTCACTTAAATCTTTAAGGTAGTGTTCACAAACTATCGATACTATCGATGGTTTCAGACATTTTTCTTTCATAAATACTTTTTTGTGATATGAACATACTTCGCAAAAATTAAATTTGACAAAAAAAATTAAGTACATAAAACTTCAAATCGAAAAAAAAATAAAATGAATAAAATCGTCTAAAAAATTAAAAATATTCAATCTTCAAACCGTATTATATCCAACCCGTGTACAAAAAGACCGTGTAAAAACAGACTTAGGTGGATATGGTAATAATATTCACATAAATGACGTTTACTACTTCACTATGAAGTGAAGTTTTGTAGGAATTTTATTTTACAAAACTTCACTTCATAGTGAAGTTTTGTAAAATTTAGAATCGATCGGATTAATAGTTTTTGAGTTATCGTGCCCGCCAATCGCATATAGTTTGAGAACCACTCTTACCGTCACTTTATGTTGACACAATAAATCGGCTATAACTTCAAGAGTTATTGAGATTTTCACATTTTAATGATATATTACTGAGAAGCTATAGATTTATACTAAATAAAAATATCGATTTTTTGAAACAGATAAAGGAGTGAGAGGGGCGTTTGCGGTGCCCAAACTAATAAATCAAAAAGCGTATATTTTTGAGGGATCTTTATGGTCCTTATAATTTTGTCCTTAAGCGAAATTGAAATGGTGAACCGTTTGCGAGTCACAGTGGGCACCGCTTTCATCAAAGCACACACACAGTACTAAGGCTTCCAATTTTGATCTCCTACTCCAACATTATATTTTACCTGTACTACAGAAAAGCCCATAGAAATTTTGATTTTTATACCCTACACAACTATGTTGTCAGGGTATTATAGCTTTGTGCAGCCCCAAATGTTTGTAACGCCGCGAAATATTGGTCCTAGACCCACCTTTAAGTATACCGATCGTCATATCTCCTAGCTGAGTCGATCTAGACATTGTGTCCGTCCGTCCGACTTCCGTCCGTCCGTCTGTCCATTTAATTTGTAAACACGATACAGGCCACAGTTATGGACCAATCTTCACAAATTTTGCATTAGGATGGGTTAAAAAATTGTTTTTGGAAAAGATTATTAATATTTAGGGGATGAAATGGACCAAATACTAAATTTTTGTCGGTTTTTCTGGTCGCTCCAGAGGCCGCAATTATGGCCCAAACACCGCGAAATTTTGCATGGAGAAGGGGATCGGGACAGAGAATAAGCATGCATGTTTTGATAAAGATCGGTCAATATTTAGCGGGTCAAATGGACCCTGACTTTTGTGTGAAAAATGGCAAAATTTGTATTCTATGGCATATATATTTACTCCTGGAGGATGTAGACCCCAGGAGTTGATAGCATATCCAAGAGGAGTGGTTGGCCTTTAAATTGATACCAAATATAGTGATGTATCTACTCAGATGTGGGAGTTACAGTCAAATATTTACAGGTGCTTACGTATTCAGATATTATTAAGTAACCCATTACCACATTAGAGGGAGAAATATCGCGCTGATGGCTTTGAAATTGTTCATGAAGTTCCAGTTATAGTCAAGAACAACGCCTACAATTTTCGGTGATGATCAGGATACAATTTTGGGATGAAATGGACGGAAAACATAATTTTTTGTGTGTTTTCGAGTAGTAGTAGTAGAAGTATAATCCGAGTAGTAGTACAATCCGAAAATCACAACACAACCCACCGTGAAGGTAATCTGGACAAGTAATTAGAAGGACTGTACTGAATATTCGAAAAAAGTAAGAAAGAGGTGTTGTTGACCTCTAATCGGACAACAGGGGGCAAATATCACGAAAGACTCAGAATAAACATCCTCAGAAAGTTAGAGTTCGTGGTAGTTGTGTAGGGTATCGTAACCCCGTCCGACTACTCACTGGTTTAAATTTTAATTAGAACTTGATCCGATTTGTTGTAAATGAAGCAAAACCCAATCGTTCCACATATAGACATCCAGATGTAATTACTTTCGATTCCATGTGAAGGATGCACCGACAATTGTACATATATGGATCCCGCAATTTTCTTACTGTTTTAATATACGCTATATCAACGTTACTGAAAAAGAAAAAAAAATTACCTCAATTAGGCCCAACGGAATAGTAGGGTTGACGTTATATAAGGAGATGAGAATCGATAATATTTATCAATATTTATGGTTAAAAACTGTGCCCAAAATACTCAAAATACCGAAATTTGGGAGATACCGTTATGTGGGTGCTACTTTTAAATGTTAACCAATATTGATACTTGTAGGTACATTGGTTATCTAACTTAGTTGAAGCGTCCCCATTATATGGGGACTACGCCGAAACTTGAGTCAATATCAATTAATTTTGGTAGGGAGATTCACTGTACAATGAGAATCCCTAATACAAATACTTCGTTTGGAAAACATGTTCGACATTAACAAAATACCGAATACAGGAGGGCACTGTTATATGGCGCATATATCAAAAAGTGGATCGATATATCCCATAGAATCACTAGCAATGTCTATGCAAATTTTTTATCGTGATTTCAACAGATGGACATGGCTAAAATGCAGTAAGTTTATCCGATTTTTTTAATAATGCGAAGTCCGGATAATTGACATATGTATCATTTAACCGAAGTTCAATAAATCTGCATTGAAATGCCAGGAATAAATCCAGCTTTTTTGAAACATTTGGAAATAGCTTCTGCCTCAATGTTATCCCATTCACGAATCCTAAGCAAATATTTTGTTTTGGAAATTGTTATAACGAAAATACATCTTCAAAATGCAGAAGTAGTTTTGGCTTCTACATCCTACATGCAAAATTTCGTGAAGATTGGTCCATAACTGTGGCCAGTATTGTGTTTACAAATTATAATGGACGGACACACATGTCTAGATCGACTCAGCTAGTGGAGATATGAAGATCGGTATACTTAAAGGTGGCGTTACAAACTCTTGGGGCTGCACAAAGCTAAAATACCCTGACAACATCGTTGTGTAGGGTATAAATAAAAATGTGTTAAAATTTTAAAGAATTATTGTTTTTCAATTAACGTGTTGTTTTTAATTAAACGGTTTGCAATTAAGCAGATTCGATTGTAATTTTGTTCTGATTAAGAACGTAAACGCAATAACGGTGTAAAAAAAGTGATGTATTGAAATATTGTTTTAAATGTTAATATTTGTTTTTGAATTAAGTTAATATTTACATAATAAAAATGTATAAATATTTCCATAAGAGGCGATAGTTCCTTGGGATAAAACTTTAATATGTATTTTCTGTGGTATCAATAATATCAATCCGTTAACAATTTACATATTATTTTTGCCGATTAAGAAATTGGGTACTTGAATGAAGACAATTTGAAAAGGAAACTTCAGTTGTTAATTAGCATTGCAACGAATAAGTTCAAGTTTCTTCGAGAAGACAACCAAACAACTTTTCATAATTTTTTTGATATACATATGTACATAAATCATTGTGGCTTCTATTATGAAAGAATAAAAGAAATTCTCGAATACACGTGCAACATTCCGTTTCTAATAATATAAAATTTATTCTCCTTTGTATTCTAGAAATACGTTAGATTTTTTTGTCATTTGCAAGATGATACCAAATGGTGTATATTTATTAACATCATGACAGATGAAGCCGTTATTTTTCTATTAAAAAACTATGTCTTATGTATTTAGAGAAAAAAAAACTATGCGCCAAAATCTAATGCCAGCTTCTTAAAACTTCAGATGTACCATAAATGTGGCATTTTAAAATTGTGCCTACAGCTTGATGTCTAACAAAAGAAAATAATTTAAAAAAAGTATTTACAAAAAATCGTCAAAATCTCTTGGTAAATAGGTATGAAGGAGAAAGATAGAGAAATAGCTCACTTTATATAAAAATAACAATATCACACGCACACACTCTCGCAAGCACATTCATCAAAATTACATTCCTATGCAAATTAAAAAAATAGAGTTGATCTACAAGGTCACATCAAATAATGCCAAATACCAAAAAAAAAACTATTTACTCTCATAGGCGGAGTTCAGGAGAGCGAGACTGAGAGAAAATAGAGTTTTATATAAACAAGGAATAAAAATTCCAATAAGATCACATTTGATTTAATTGTTTCCTTATCACCCTTAACTATACGACTTTACTACGCATGGGTGAGTTCGTTGGCTGAGAGAATCTTTTAACCCTTTCACCTTTCATTGCCGTTGATTTGTTATGTTAAAGGGTATCCTGTTGGGCGTGCGTGCCTGTGTGTGTGTGTGCGCATACAAACATATATACATTTATACTGTGTACACTTAAAGATTGTTTCCTTCCCTAAGGATAGCTTGTGTGCCACATCAAGGGTATAAAACTACAAGGAAAAAAAAGAAGTTTAACAAGATTCCCAAAGAGAGTTGATTTGTGTCTGTGTGTGTGTGCATGCGTGTGTGACTAAGCTTGCGTCGTGCAAGGGTTACGATAGTGTCCACCAAACTAAAGGCTCAACAGAACGCAGTCTGATCTCGTCCAGAGCGGTACTACAAAATTATAACAAGAAATAATCTAAGATAAAAACATTTTTTTTGTTATTTTAATTTAAAAAAATAATACGAAAAGCGTGTTTAATTTTATTTAAGAAAAAATATTTTAGTTAATTATTTTTATTTTTTGTTTAATTTAGTTCAAGTAGTAGTTGAAAAAAAAAAGAAAAAAGAAGATAAAAATCCAATAATTGCATGGTTATCCTTGTGGTGTTAGTTTTTTGATTTCTTGTTATTTCTCTGTGTCGTCGTTGTTGTTGTTGTGGTTTATTGTTGTCCTTAACTTTTGGGGACTCTATTAAGTTTGGTTGTTTTGTTATTGTTGTGTGTGAGAGTGAAAAAAATAAAACACAAAAATATGGAATCTTCAAACGGAAGTTCAGCTCAGTGTTTAACAACATCCGCCAGTACGACAACAAATGCTTCTTCTTCGGCCACCTCCTCCGCCTCAGCCTCAGCCTCGGTATCGTCATTGTCCACACCATTGGCTTTGACAACGACATCATCATCATCAGCTTCCACGTCCGGCTGTACCTCCACACCGGCCACAATTAGCAGTAGCTGTGTTAGTAATAGTTTGACCAGCAGCATAGCCACAAATTTGTCAACTGTTGCGGGTTTTACCTCAACATCGGCAGGCTCATTTCAACAACACACCCCCTTGTTACAAATTTTACCCTTGGATACCGGCAAACAAGATGATAGTAATAATTTATCTCTGGCCAGTGGTATATCGGAGGGTCAGCGTTCATTATCGGCAGCACCGTCGGCATCTTCCAGTCCCATCTTGAGTCCACCAAATAAGATATTTGGCCGCAATGCAAATGGAACAAGTAAGTAACACATTTTATTTCTTTCTATTTTAATATTAAATCGAATTTTTAAGGGGAGGAGAAATTTAAATATGGAGGAAAATAATATTTGAAAATTAAACAAAAATATCGGACGAACTTACGATACAAAAATTACGAAAACCCCCAATTTGTAGGAAAATTCCGCTTTTCAAATTTGAATTGTTTTTGAAATCTTAACAAAATATTTGTTTTAAAGTCATTCTTTTTGAGAAGATTTAGGAAAAGTTAAAATAGTTTTGTTTAATTAAAAAAAAAATTGAAATTTTGAAAATTAAAAAATCATCGAGAAAGGACTAACACCTTATTTGTTTCGAATTATAAACGTTTTAAAAAAATGACAAAGAAATGCGATCTTTTCACATTTCTTCAAGTTATAATTTTTATTAAATTTATTGAGTTAAATAGTGAGGTTATAAAGGAATTCTCTACAACAATTATATAAATTTTTCATGTTAATTTTTCCGAATCCGAATTAATGTAAAAGATCAGGTTAAAAATAAGTTAAATAAATTTTCAATCTTGATTTTTTTATTAATTTTTTTTCTGAGGTTAGAAGAAAAGGTTAGGTGACCATTTTTCGAAACTCTTAATAATTTTTGTTTATGAAGTCTGACGTTTTTGTGATTGTTTTTATTAGAAAATAAACCATAAATAATTATATTAATATATGCGAAATAATTATACTTCATTTTCAGTATGAAAATTATATATTGAAATTGAAAAAGTGAGGTTAGAAACAAAATCAAAATCAAATATTAGTGGCCCAAATACAAAATTTAATTTTATTGACTATCATTCAATGAATATTCTATTATTTTTCATATTACAAAAAATAACATCTGAAGATAAAAAATATTTTATTTTTAGCACAAATTAGTTAGGTCAACATTAATTTTGTAAAGTATAAAAAATATTTTTTTCCCAAAAAAATTCAAAAAACATTTCAAAAAAATAATTTAATTTAGGAATAGTATTTGATTTCCTTGATGATGACAAAATTATTATCACATTTTTTCTTAATCAAACTGTACAAAAATGTTGAATTCCTCAACACACAAATTATGCAAATATCATGGTATGCAAACAAAAGGACTCCCCTTAGGGGCATTTGTCCAGGTATGCCAAACATTTTAATTTATGTTAATCCTTTTTTTCGATGCCACATGATGTGAATATGAATTTATTTCACAATAAGAATTTATTTTTTTTCTTTAAGATTCCAATTGGAAGAAATATACTTCCTTATATAAAAACACACACATACATATAAATACTAAAAGACCAATAAGGAGACTCCTTGTGAGGGGGTAGTTTTTTTTTTTAAATTTTTAGGGGTGGCGATTTTTTTCTGTGTGTCTCATTTTTTGCCATTCAACCTATAGCAGCAGAGCCTTGTTTTTAAATAGAGGAAAATGCAAACAATAACAATAGGAACTAGTTTTTTTGTTGCTCTTCTTTTGAATTTCAGAAATTTTTGATTGGATATCAAATATTTGAAATTTTCAGTTATATAATGCCTTTGAAATTGTAAACATTAGGGGTTGATTTTTTTAGGGCAAATGGCAGTTTAGTAAATTGAAAAATAAAAAAAATCCATTAAATTTTGTTGTAACGGTTTTGAGGAAAACCAGAAAAACTTGTTGCCGACATGTTAAAGAAATAATGAGATATTGTTTTGGGAAATATTTTTTTATTTATTTTTTTATTTTTTTTTTTTGAGAGAAGAGAAAATATTTACTAAAACAATGTTGAGAGAGGTTTGTAACGATTTTTGATATGAAAAAAATTGTACCTTTTTTTAATTCAAAGTAAGCATATATAGATCACTTCTGGCTGGGAATGGGTTAATGTGTCACTTACACGAAATTTATTAGGGTACATTGATATAAGGGTTTTCGAACAAAGATCGGATAAAATATTAAAAGGACGATGAAAACATAGGATTATCGATTTCTTGTCACTAAGGGCATTAAAATCTTTTAAGCGACATTTATGTAGGTCAAAAAAAACTCTTGTAATAGTATTTATTGTATGAAAAATACACACAAGAACTTAATATGGAAGGAGGTTATTTTTTTAGAAAAATATTCCTCGTACGACTTTTCTGCACACATTCTATCTCAAAAATAACCTGCAATAGTCACGGACCAAGACGTAATTTTTTTTCATACATCATAGAGTTACAAACCAAATATGTATCACGCTATTACATAAAAACGAAACGATTTTTTTCTTCTGGCTTTATATTATATTCGTCGTGGGCAAGGAATTTTCAATGCGTCAACTTTTTAACCCTAAACTAAAATAATATTTTTTACACTTTTTTTATTAAAAACAGATTTGTATTTCTTCTAATTTTTTTTTATCAATAATATATGTTATTTATTTGTATGTCTTAATTTTTTTTCGTAGACGGTTGTTCCGTCATTTCCTTAACAACCTGGTTTTTTATTTAAACATTTTATGTTTTAGATATAAACCTTTTGGCATTTTTTCTGACTATTTCTTATTTTAAAAAATTACAAAAAAAGTAAAAATGAGTTTGTGTCTGCTTTTCTTTTGAGCTTTTTGTTTGCTAAAATTGGCAACTTTATAAATTCCAAGGCATTTCTTTAACATTCTCAAGGATTCGTTATTGTGTTTTTGCCATGATTTTTTATGATTGCATTTTTTTTGTGATGGTCCTACACCACCCTACCTTCGAGCCGACCTACCTACTATGTCTCCAATACAAAATACCAATAATTTTATGTATTGATGTTACAAAAAACGACGATCCCCTTATTCTTCCAGAAGAAGTCTTATTTTGTGATTATTGCTGGCCATTAGCACGTCTCTCAGCAGCATTCAATTGTTTGTTAGAGTGTGTGTGCGTGTTGTTGTGTCTACTGGGGGTTTTTCTCTCATAGATGTTTTTTTTTTCATTATTATATGTGATCGCTGGCAATTGCTGGCTCCAAAAGAATTTTGATCGACAAAGAATTTGGCCATTTAAGAAAAACATTTTCTTTTTTAATTTATCATTGTGGCCTCATAAAAACAAACAGCCTGCCAGCCAGCCAGTCCGACATTCAACTTATTTTAGGGCCCATTGCGTAAACCATACACACACATGCGTACAAAAATATTTAGTTGTGTGTGTGCTGACATTAATGATTATGATCATTTGTTGACAATGATCATTTAGAGGTTGGCCTTTAGAGACATCCTTAAGTTTGGTGTTTTTTGTTTTGCTTGGTGACATATTGTGGCCGATGATGCCTGGGAGTTTTTCTTTTTTTCTTTGGCAATAATCAATTGCTTTAAATGACCACCAATCGTTGTGGTAATTTTTACCTTTAACTGTTCGAGCTACTGTTGGTGATCATTTAATATTACACATGCAGAGCAGAGCCGAGATCGGCAGAATCATCAGCACCATCAGTGGCGAACGGTAGACTGGCCACCACCACCAGCAAGCATCATTCTTCCGCCTGTTTTGCTGTCTTATTTGTTTTGCAACCTTCCCCCCTCCCCTACTCCCCCTCGTTCTCCTCCTCTGAGAACAGATTTTTTCTTAATAGTAAATTTTTTTTTCCTTAGTTTTGTCATCATTTTTTAAAATTGTTGGCGGGTACTTAGGCATGTGGCGTCGTATGTCATTATAAATACTGTTGTTCGGGCCTCCTGCTTGCTTGTGTTGTCTGGACAAGTGCCAAAGAAACTGATTCTAAACAGAAGAAACAGAAACGTTTTTTGCTGTTATTGTCATTTGCTTCATTCTTGTTGTCATTTTCCCCAAACAGCATCGATGGTGTTTTTTTCCACCTTAGAGCTTAGAGGAAGACCATGTCAGGTCCGAGTGTGTGTTTGTGTGTGGGGGTTAGCATGTTTACGCTCATTTTCACATTCTGCTTATGAGAAGATGGCCAAACGTTTGGTTGTTGGTTGGAAGATGAAATGAGAACAAAAAACACGCCAACAACAGCAACAACATATTTAGCAAATGACAATGTTTGCAAAATGCTACAACATTCATTTCAAAAGCTGTGGTATTGTTAAATAGCTGATCGGTGGGCCAAACGATCGATCGGTCGGCCGACCAGCCAGTGCGTTACTTGGTCAAGCTAGCCAAGGCAGTACTCATCATCACATTAAGTAATGAAGGTAATATTACCACCATCATCAGCCACCAAGTAGCACCACGTATAGAAAAAAATGCAACAAGAAGAAGAGCAAAAAACACATTCTCCGATCTCTAGTAAAATTTAATGAAACCAATAATCATGATCATGATAACAAAAAAATTGCAGCAACAACAACAACATGATAAAATATATATATTTTTTGTATTATTCTACCTCTTGCTAGTGGTCTGCAGCTTCTCGGGATGTTGTTGGTGGCTAGTTTCCCGCCACAATTTACTTGATATTAAAATCACGTATCATTTATTTATTGCTGCAAAATACATTCTCCAGTTTTTTGTTTTATTTTTTTGCTCTGTCTCCAGTTTGTTTTTTTGTATGCTCTTTACCTTGTCTTTCACTTCATTTTGTCACTTGTCTCCCCTTACACCACAAAAAAAGGAACAACATTTTAAAGGTGGTATTTCATTCAAATTTTTTGTGTTGTGAGATATAGCGAGAGAACAAATTTCTTTTATGGGGGAAGAGACAAGGAAGTTTTGAAAAATATGTCCTTAAGAAAGGACATGGTATAAGTATTATGGCATATCCTTTCTAAATTACCAATATTAAACTCTATTGGTAATTTTTGCGATTTAGGTAACATTTCTGATTTTTTACATAAAAATCTACAGTCTTCAGGGGATCCCAAAATATCCACATAGACCCTATGAAGCCTCCTCCCAAAAAAAAAAAAAATTAACATAATTTTGCCTTCGAAAAAACCTCGTCTTTGGCCAAGAAAATAATCTGTCATTATTGGCCATTTAACATGGTGTTAACGGGTTCTTCTGCTACAGATTTTTATTAGCAATTTCTTCCTGGACAACAACAAAGAAGACTATCCCGTATGAAACTCAAAATAATTATCTGTGGAAATTCTCACGCTAACCCTTCCCTTCTCAATTTTTTTGGGTTTGAAATTTCTACAAATCTTATCAAAAAAAACTGAAAGTGATAAAAAATGATTTAAATAAAAAAAAATCCACCAAAAAAACGAGGATAAAAACAAGCCAAACAAATGAATGTTTGCCTCAAATGATGATCCTTTTCTGTGTGTGTGTGTGTGTGTGCGCTACTTCCTTGCATGAATTTAAATCAGTGATGGGTATTTTTAAATTTCATTGAGAATAAAAAAATCAAACCCCAGACTATCCTCCCCTAAAACAAGTAAACATACCGTCATCCAGTTCGTCTCACAAGACAGGAAGAACTTGTGTGTCCTTAGTATTCAAATTAGTTTGAATGGTCGTTGAGCGACCGGTGTGGATGGCAGGCTGGCTGACTGACTGGTTAACTGGGCAAGGGTGGTGGTAAATTTAAGGGGCCAGTTTTTTTTATTCTCGTTATGCATAAAGGATTTACTCTGAAAGGGTTATGTTAGGTAAAAAAAGACACACAAATTTTAAGCATAAAAAATCTGCATTTTTTTCTTATAGTATTTATAGTACAGTGGGAATTTATCATGTCCTTTTAATGCTTTTTTTATACAAATTTAAAAGTCCTTTAAAATAAACCGGTTTTTTTAACATATTTTTTCTTTTTTATTTCCAGTGGTGGCTACTTCTCGTCCCAATAATGAAGCTGAAATTCAGCTGTATCGTGTTCTACAAAAAGCCAGTCTCTTGGCCTATTATGATACTCTGCTAGAAATGGGTGGTGATGATGTCCAGCAATTGTATGAGGCTGGTGAGGAAGAATTTTTAGAAATTATGGCCTTGGTGGGTATGGCCTCGAAACCATTGCATGTAAGACGCCTGCAAAAGGCCTTGCATGAATGGGCCCTAAATCCCAGTCAATTCCAACAGCCTCTTAATCACAATAGTGGTAAGTTTTGTATTATTATATTTAATTTTAAAAAAATTTTTAATATATTTAAATATTTTTGAAAATACCTTTAAATAATAATTTTTTTTTAATATAAATTTACATATTATGTTATAAAATATATATTTTATAAAATAATATATTTTATATATTATTTTCTGATAATATATAAATTTTCGTAATAAATATTATATATATATATATATAATTTGTATATTTTTTCTTATATAATCTTTACCCATTTTTTAACATTTTTATTAATTTTTTTCTTCCTCTTCTTTTCCTTTTCTTTACAGGTCAATTTGAAACCCCGGCCAAATCTAGCACTGCCATATACAATGCTGAACTATCACGTTCGCCAGGTCCCATACGTCCCAAATATCCCTCTTTCAATACCAACGCCCCCTTTAATCCCACACCCTTGGTTAGTACAGTGACCCCTGCGGGTGCAGCCTCTGCCCATTTACTTTCACAAATTTGTTCCCTACCCTCATTGCCTGCCCACAATCCCACCGTTGCCAGTCATGTTCTACCTCCCTCTACTCTCACCCATCCCACCGAAAGACCCCAACCTATGGTAAATATTCCCCAATTGCCGGGTAGTGGTGTTGCCTCAAATACTGCCCATCAGGTTACCTCCAGCTCGCCACAACTGACCCCCGTCCTCAGTGAAATGCAAGTTTCTCGCATTACAATGGGTGCTGAAAAAATTGCCTCACAATTGCCACAACGTGAACCCCGTGCTCACACCTCTAAGAAACGCACCAGCCGTGAATTGGAACAGGTTATGGCCATGAGTGAAAATGACCCACGTCGCATGGATGAAATTCGTAAGTATTCCGCCATTTATGGTCGCTTCGATTGCAAACGTCGTCCCGAAAAACCTTTAACCCTACACGAGGTTTGCGTAAATGAGGCTGCCGCTCAATTGTGCCGTCTGGTCCCTGCCTTGCTAACACGACGTGATGAACTCTTCCCCTTGGCCCGTCAAATTGTTAAAGATGCCGGATTTGGTCACTCGGCATCGATTGCCCGCTATGGCAATTTACTCTCACAAATGGTTGGGGGTGGCGCCGTCAATCAAAATGCCGCTGGACAAATACGTTCCGCTTCGGCCATGTTAGATTGTGAATCGAATGATACGAATAACTCAACACCAAACAAACGTCAAAGGATGGCATCGTCTGATGCTAGTTTGTCGGCAGCCGATAGCAATCGGGTAAGAATTACGAAAAGCGAACAGTAAATGAGCACAGTTAGAGCTTTTAAGCTTTGCTTCGATCTTTCGGTTGTGGCTTTAAAAAGGAGATCACGAGAGAAATTCTCTCAAAATGCTAAATATTTATTTTCAGCTTTTATTCTCTACTCCTATGGTGGTGAGCTTTTTTAACATGTATAGCTTTTGTAAAGAAATTTTTATTGAAAACGTTGTGTGCTGGGAGAAAATATGAAAGCTGTTTAAGGATAAATCATATTTAATATCCTCTTTAATGTGTAAATATATATTAAGCTTGTTGTTTGATATCATTGCTTCAGTTTTGAAATAATTAACGTTTTTAAACGCTTTTTTAGTTGAAAATCCTCCCTGTAAATATATTCATAAAGCTTTCTAAGGTTTAATGTTACTTTTTTGAGATCTGTTAATAGATGATCTTGACTATAAACAATTTGCGGCTTTTCTTCAAAGCTTCCCTTCCATTAAATATTTTATTTCATACAAAAAGCTTCAAAGGACTTTGTAAGCTTTTATATTTATTGTTCCTATAAATGTTTCCTAAAACTCCATCTTCCTCGTATTTATTAATTTAGGTATTTAAATTTTAATCCACAATATTCTTACCCCAAGTTATATGAATTTCCCCCCTCTTTAGATACCTGGTAGATTATAAAAGCTTTCTGTGGAAAGCTTGTATATTTATATATTTTATCGTTATTTTTATAGGAATTTTAAAATTCTTAGAGGAGAATTGATTGTTTGCATTGGATTTGTAAATTGTACATCAATTTACTTACGGTTATGGACACAAATTTTCATCTACAATGTGAAAAGCTTTACAGTGTTGCCACTGTAAAAAATTGTTTTGGTTAAATCTTTGTTTTGCATATGCCCAGATTTTAAATGTAATTTAGTATTAGATTTAATTTGGTATAATAATTTATTATTTATTTTATTATTGTTTTGTTTTTGTTTGTTTTTTTTTTAATATTGATTGCTTGGTAATGGTATTTAGTTTTAAAAACTTTTCAGTTGACTTTTTTTGTTTAAATATTTTTGTTTTGTTTTTGTTATTAGTTTTGTAGTTGTGTTATTGTTAAGCTTAGCATACCATTATTATTATTAATTCATTATTTCCAACAATGACTTCCTGTATCTGCTGCCAACTATTAATTTTTTGAATAAAAAATATATTTTAAATGCTTAAAGAAAACCACAAAAATCCTGCTGCGTATTTATTTCATAGAGCTTATCGACAAAAAAAGAAATTAGTAAACTGAAAATTTTAAAAAATTAAAGAAAAAACAAAAAAACTAATTTAAAACATAAAAATTCGTAAAATTAATCCGTTTTGAAGGATTCTGTGGAGGATCCACGTTACAATCTGTTTGCCATGTACCAGAAATTTGCTGCAAAGCCACCGTTTGATTTGGCCGATATTGCAAAATTCACGTAAGTTTGTATGGGGACAATATTTGATATGGGGAAAAAATTATGTTTACAATTTTTTCATTTTCCATATTTAGATTAACAAAACCCAATGATTTGGATGATCAAGATCAGGAATCACGTTTTTCATTCAGTAATTCCAGTTCGCCATCTATGCCAGTGAGTATGTGTTTCGTTTTATGTTGTTTTGATTTATTACGAACATTTATTGTGTGTTTGGTATAAACATTGGGTATATATACAAATATGGACTTATAATTTAGCTTCGAAAATTGATAATAAAATCGTAAAAAAAATCGTTTGAAAATTTATTTTGAAAAACAAGTAAAAACGACGTTAAGTTCGTCCGGGTGGAACTTTTACGTCCTCCACCATGGGATGAACATTAAATATGTCTAAAATCGAAAAATTGGACTAAAAGTTAATATGAGGGCTATATTCAAAGAACGACAAAGTTAGAGCCATCACTAGTTTGGGAAATATACCTGATTATGTACCGTTATTTGCAATTTAAGTAAGAAAGAGTGGGTGGCAACTCTTTCTTACTCATTGGTATATTTTAATTGTCAACTCGCTGGATAAAAGTGCCAGAAACCCTCAAAATACCCAAAATTGGGCGTACTGTTATTGATAAGAAGATAGGAGTTTTGACATGCAAAGAAAATACGGAAATCCAAAAAAAAAAAAGAACCAGTGAGCGGAGCAGTATAGTCGGACGGGGCCGACCATATGATACCCTACACAACTTCCACGAAAGTCTAACTTTCTGTGATTTTATGTTCTGAGCTTGGGCAATATTTCGCGATATTTGCACACTCTTGACGGACTATAGGTAAACAAATATTACTAAGATTCAGCACAGCCTTTCTAATTACTTGTCCAGATTCCCTTCCACCTTTTGTTTTGTGAAGTTCGGCAAACAATTGTGGCCATTGGAGTCGATCTTCTCGAAATTACACAAAAAATTAAGTTTTCGGTCCACTTTTTTCCCAAAACTATTATCTGATCATCACCGAAAATTATAAGCGTTGTCCTTGACCTCATGAAACATTTCAAAGAGAACAGCGCTAGATTTCCGCCATCCAGTGTGGTAATGGGTTAATAAATAATGTCTGAATACGTAAGCACCTGTAAATATTTATGTGTAACTCCCACATCCGGGTACATACGACAATATAATTGATGTATATTTAAAGGTCAGCCACTCCTCTGCGATTTACTACCAACATTTTGGGTCTATGTCCTTCAAGTGTAAATATATACGGTATAGAATACAAATCTTGTAATTTTTCACACAAAAGTCAGGGTCCATTTGACCCGCTAAATATTGATCGATCTTCATCAAAATAGGCATGCTTATTCTTTGGTCCTATCCCCTTCTCCCTGTAAAAATTCGCGATGTTTGGGCCATAATTGCGGCCTCTGGAGCGACCAGAAAAACGGACAAAAATTTAGTATTTGGTCCATTTCATCCCCTAAATATTAACCGATCTTTATCACTGGCCAGAACCCATCCTACATGCAAAATTTCGTGAAGATTGGTCCATAACTGTGGCCTGTATCGTGTTTACAAATTACAATGGACAGACGGACGGACGGACACACATGTCTAGATCGACTCAGCTAGTCGAGATATGACGATTGGTATACATAAAGGTGGGTCTAGGACCAATATTTCGCGGCGTTACAAACCTTTGGGGCTGTACAAAGCTATAATACCCTGACAACATAGTAGTGTAGGGTATAAATATGACAGAAGAAGATCGAAGTAAATCTTCTCCTGATTTTTGTAAAACGGACTGTTCCATTTAAGCAACGTAGGTAGTCAATTCTGAGTGGTACACCACATTTTGTTTGCCCTAAGTCTTCGGAGAAATTAAAAAAAAAAAAACAAGTAAAAACGTCATCATGTTCGGACGAACTTCTTTACCCTCCACCATGTGATGTGCATTCAAAATTCCTTAAGTCGTTCGGGACATTTACATGGGGACTACGTTATTGCGTTATATCGGAAAGGGGGGTGGAATTTTGTTTTTTCTGACCTCCATAGAAATCCTTCCGCACAAAATTTGTTTTACCCACCAATGAGGACATCTAGCAAAAATATTGACAAAGTGGTGCTACCCTAATATGGAGGCTATATCAACACATGGACTTATATTGCTTATTTCCTTCCATAAGCCTTTATAAAAAATTACAAAGACATCGGTGGGAAAATGTGGCTTAAGTCTTCAAAATAACGAATATTTGATCATACTCTTCGATGGGAGCTATACCAAAACGAATGCTGACATTGATAAAATTTGGTAGGAAGATTTGATGCCAAGTAGGAACTTGAAAAATCAAATTAGAACAATTTGGTGCCTAAACAAAAAAAAAAAAAAAAATACACTGACATCGGTGGAAAAATGTGGCTTATGGCTTCAAAATACCGAATATTTGATCATACCAACAATGATAACCAATCGTGGAAAATTACAGCCAATTGGGTAGACAATTTGTCAAAAATCCCCATAATACCGAACGTGGACCGATGTACCTCATTTGCAATACCAACCATCCTAGGAATAATAGCAATCCCAGTGCAAAATTTCAAATCAATATCTAAAATATTGCGATTTCTGTCGTTATTTTAACAGACAGGCCGACATGCATAAATCGACATAGAATTTTATTCTGATCAAGAATATAATTGTATGTATACTTTATGAGGTATCCCCAAATGCAAGCGGATTGGCAAATGGAGGGTATAAAAAAAGCAAACTGATTCTTGTGCACTATGACAATACATATTTTTATATTTTATTTTTATTCCCGTACTCCACTCTTAAATATCATTCGGTGCAAAGTGGGTATACCTTCTACAATGAAGTTACCAGTTGGAACTGATAGTACGATTTTTTGATTAAATAAACCCCGAAAGTCGGTTGGAAAACGGAATCAAAATTCTGAAAATGTGCTGTTATAATTATCTAGACTCTTAACTACATACATATCGTTGAACGGACAAAGACAAAACAAGCTTATGATCTAAAATTTGACTCATCGAAATGTAGGCTGCAGTCGCCATTTGTCTTTGCACCAAATCTGTTTGTAACAATTCTGAGTTGATTTAGGGATAACCAATAGCCTTGCTGGCTGGAGGGCACAATAACTCATGAAGGCTGTGATCGATTTGATACAAATTTTGCACTCCGAAATTTTCCTTTCAAAGATCTATTCCTTCAAGTAGTTCTCTGAGAAATGTGCCAACATAATGTGAAATGGATATATTTTTTTCCAAAACGTAATTATTTTTTATCAAACCTGGATCATATCCAAAGATGAAGCATTTTGGTCCACTCTTTCTCATACGATTCACCCAAAGAGTCAAAATGTTCGTGAAATCCGAATATAAGATCAATCGGTTCACTTCTTCTACTAGCTCTTGCACAAAGGGTCATCATATTGGAAATTTATTATTTTCATATAACTATCTAATTTTATATTTTCCATATTTCCCATAAATATTTTTATCATACCCACTATAAATACGACGAGGGTGTTTTGTCTGAAGAGTTATTATTGTTCTGCTGTACAATTTTCACCTTAGATTGCATCTTCGCATCAATACTGGTATTCATACTAAGTTCTAGACGACGATGGTGATATACAACTTATTCATTCTTCACCAAACTTGTATTTATATTCATCCGATCCGAACATTTATATGCTTCCAATAATCAAATATTTACTCATTTGGAACGATCTCTATGATCACCCTTATATTTTTAATATTGTAAATAATAATAAAAAACATTGTTTCTCTCTTTAATGTGTATTTATTTCCTTTTCCTTTTAGAACAATGGTCCGGAAGAGGATCGTAATATTAGCTCGCTTGACAAGTTACTCTTGAAGTCGAATGATTGTGTCAACAATAATAACAACAACAACAACTCCCTAATCGATTTGCAGACAAGCAGCATTGGCCCGCCAACTCCTTCGTCTACTACAAATCGTCTGATTTCCGATCTGAGTACCACTCCTACGAAATCACGCCCCTTATCCAGTGATGTGCAAGTTATATCAGCTGCAGGCAGTCATATCATTGCTGTTGCCAATCCTGCCTTGGCCTTAAGTCCAACACTGCATGAAGCCATCAGCTTGAAGCGGGAAACAACATCACCGGATCCATGAACCAGTAACGGTACAAATGGAATTAAATCGATGATAGAGGAGATCACAATGTGCAATTTGTTAAATAAATAAAAATTATTTCATAGAAGTATGGCGAATAAGTAAATAATTTTATAGTACTGTGATTGGAAATATGCGTAGTGTACACTCAATAAAAAGTATTTAAATAGTATTAAACAAAGTAAAGTAACTATAAAATAGTAAAATAAAAAAAAAATGTGTATTATATGAATGACGTGTGGAGTTGTTGTGTATTTATTCTGAGATGGAGTTTTGATGGAAAATTTTGTAATCCGTACAACAAAACAGTTAATTATTTGTTTTACCACCATGTGATTAGCAAGTGTTGAGTATTCAAATCGGTATATTAAAACTGGTACAAAAATCGAGTTTGTTATATGAAGATCCTGGTGAAAAAATTTGGGATCCGGATCTGTTTCACGGATATTATTATTAATTTATTCGAAATTTATTAGTGCTCGTAGATATAAGACATTCTGAGATTGGGTCGGGGAAAAACAAAAAAAAGATCCACATTTGACTGAAGACATGTGATGTCAATAATATTCAACCACAAGCTAAGAGGAACTTTAGAGTTATAAGTACAAAATTACCATTAATACCGTTTAGTGCCCTTCATACACATAAGCACTAATATCTGAAATCTATTTCTTTTTCCAATATAAAGATTCAAATGTACTCAGAACTACCAACAGGTTACACATTTAGTTCCATTCATCACTTTTCGAAAACATGTTCAAGATTGCCTCCATATATCAATCGTATTTCTAATTTCACTAAATTTTGTACCAGTTTATACCAAATTTTTGGTTTCCAGCTCTCTACGTTACCCAAATCCAAATTGTTCCAAATTAATTGCATTTAGTACTATTCATATAAATTCGAATTTCCAAAACTGTCTCCATAGCTCAATCCTAAACTTCAAAAGTAATCTAAATTCCAAATTTAAGGATTTCAGCCCTATCCATTCACCCAAATCCAAATTGTACCAAATTTAGTACCATTTAGTACTTTTCATACTCATAAGTAAGAATTTCTAAAACTACATCAATCCTACACTCTAACAGTAATCTTAATTCCTCCAAAGTCCAGATTGTACCAAATTTAGTACTTTTCGTACTCAAAAGTACGAATTAAAAAAACTATGTACCTCAATTCTGCTTTCAAATGGTAATCGTAAGTCCAAATTTATGAATTCTACCTCTAACAGTAAATCGAAATCTAACATGTACCAGATTTGGTACCATTCTCTATTTTTCGTACAAAACTATATCAATCTTACACTCCGAAAGCAATCTTAGTAGGTTTATATCAAAACTTACAAGTCAACCTACCAGAACTTGTTATACCAAACTAACGAGTGCCTGCTACTTCGTATGCGGAAAGGGAATAAAAAACAAATAAATAATATTTTATATGGAAATCGTGAATGCTGCATACATTTTCGTACTATTATTCCGAATGCCAGTTCCATTCCTACTCTTAATATCATGTTTATTGCCATTTAGTAACCTTCATACACATAAGCACTAATTTCTGAAATCTCGTTTTTTTCCATTATACAGATTCAAAAATGATCAGAATTTCAATTATACATTTTAGCAAATTCCTACATATTCCACATTTCGTTCCATTGAACACTTTTCGAACGCATAAGTACACATTTTCAAGACTACCTCCATATATCAATCGTACATATTTCTAATTTCACAAAATTTAGTACCATTTAATACCAACTTTTAGGTTTCCAGCTCTCTCCGTTACCCTAATCCAAATTGTACCAAATTTAGTAATCCTCATACTCATAATTAAGAATTTCTGAAACTACATCAATCCTACACTCTAAGAGTAATCGTAATTCCTCCAAAGTCTAGATTATACAAAATTCAGTACTTTCGTTATCATAAGTATGAATTTAAAAAACTATCTCAATTCTACTTTCAAATTGTAATCTTAAGTCTAAATTTAAGAATTAAACCTCTAACTGTTCATCTAAATCCAAATTGTACCAGATTAGGTTCCCGTCTGTATTTTTCGTAGCCATATTCCAAAACTATCTCAATCCTACACTCCTACAGTAATCTTAGTTGCAATTTTCAAGATTCCAGTTTTAAATTTGAAATTGTACCAAATTTTGTACTTTTCGTACCAGTAGGAACGATTTGTCAAAACTACCTCATTCATGCTGTTTGCGTTGATGCAAAATATGAAAATAAATAGAAATAAAACCACAATTGTTTAGAATTTTTGACCAAACGTAGATTTGGTTGTTTTATTGAATTGTTCGTGAAACAATTAATATTACCTTTTTACAGTAGTGTAGGGCTGTATGCTGTTTGGTCGTGAACCAAAGAACGAGTGTTATTAAAAGCTAAGATGTCACAATGCGGCGCTTTGACATAGTTACTCGTTATATTTTGCTACTACCTTTTGTCTTTAGTACGAAATACTCAAAGACGTATATAAAGGTAGTGAACAAGATATAACGATGGGGGCACAATTTACATTAATTCAAAAGAAATTATTTCAAAATAATCATTGCCGCCCGCGTTGCAATATCTTGCTATGTTGCAAAATGAACATGTAGGTAATGTTTGGTAAATTCTTTTTCTTTTTTTCTCTTGTTTTTTTTTATATACTTTTTTCAAAAAACATATTATTTGCTCGACGAGCAGGATCGTGCAATGTCTCGTCAAGATCTGATCCGTTAACTTTTTTATAATCAAAAGACTCGCCGAGTCTTGCGGCTAGGCAATTGAAGATTGCCCATCGCTTGATGATTAAATGCTACATGGAAACCAGGGCTAGAATAAGTTTTGTGGCGTTATTCATTGTTTTAAACCTCTGGGCCTAGTATCATGCTGACCGTTGCAGCTTCGTTGAACCGAGAATCGGCAAGTTGCAAGCCAGCATGATATTCTTTAAGCCGCCGGACATAGACTCCGAAAGAGCAACGATATGTCCCAAACCAATAGCTCTCGCTGAGAGCATTTGCGTAACATCGCAGGGACTTGAAGCCGAAGGCAATGAGGAGTTAACGGACGGACGTTTAGAGGCTGATTTTGTTGGAACAACATTATGCACGCTCTTTTCGAACCCTGGTTCTTTCGGCAGTGTGCCGAAATAGGTGGCGACACCACCGGGTTTCCTGAAGGAACTTCAGGGACCGTCGACGACGTTCTTTCGACAGTGTGTCGAAAGAGGTGGCGACACCACCGTTTCTCCTGAAGGAACTTCAGGGACCGTCGAAGACGGACTTTAAATTATTTTTCTCCGATGGAGAAGCAGCTTCGTGGGACCCGAAGGGCGTAGACTCGTTGGCGATGGGGACACCTGTGAGGTTGTAGTCCCTTTCCTCATCGGACATGAGGACGTCGTCTTCAATATCGGGGGTACCGCAGCCATCGTACCTAAATTTTCCATCTTCTGTGAAAATAGAGAGATGTGATACCGAAACGATGAGGATTATAACTAATAAATGTATGGCCAGAATGACCAGTAAAAACCGTAGGTCGTTTTGTAATTATCATAGTCCCATAACGCGCCACTCTATCGCGACCATCAATGGTCATTTTTCATTACGCGAAAAAGTAAAGAGGTGGCAAAAGACGACTCGAGATATGGACTATGATAATTATTTGCGCAACAACTTTTATATAGTACCGTTTTCCGTATGAAAATCCCGAGTGCACCTCTACTATTCGACATTATTCCACGATGTGGAAGTGATTGCAACAATGAATGATGCGTAACATCAATATATTATATTTGATTTCACAAATATGCCAGAAGAAAATTATGGGAGGTCGTAAACCTGTAGGACAATTTTGAGACATTTGCGTGACAAATGATTAGAACAACCTGAAAGTGACCGGAAGTATAATTTTAAATGTATGACTCTGGGAGAGTGGTGGACTGTATGATAGAATCTTGCTCGTAAAGCGTTTAAATTTGTATTAAAAAAGTAACACTAGCCAACTGGGACGAAGTCCCGGAATGTAGATCGTAGAATCTACATTTGCGTAGCATGTATATAGGGAAAAGTGTAGGCGATGTAATCTTTAAGTTTTCCGTGAGAAAACTGACCTAGCACAATTATTATAGTTACTATCGACACCTTTGCACACAATATCATCCGTATGGATAAAATGAAGCATAATTTGCTCAAAGTCCCCCAGGTGTATATCCCTAAATAGATGGACGTAAATAGGAAGAGGGCATTGGACCAGTAATGATCCAACCGAAAACCGTACTCTGGGCTATTAGTGAGCCTAGTACGTTGGAACGTGTACCCTGTAGCATGATCTTCGGATAAAGATCTGCACCAAGTAATATAAGGGAAGAGAAGGGATCGGGGTCGGCCAAACGTAGATTTGGCAAATTTGATCGAATATCTGTTTGTGCGGTGAAGGAGGGCAGATTTTCTGCGATGGTTGGAAGGACAATGACTTTAGATTCCATTGATTGCGTAGCATCAATGGGAGAACTAATACGGACTTCACATTCCTTATTTGAAGTGGTTGAAACAGATCCACTGACCCCAGAAATAGTGGAAATGTTCGAAGTTGTGGGTATGCCCGTTCGATTTCGCATTTCTTCAGAAATGAATGATGCTTCAGAAGCAGGGTCAATAAGAGCTCTGGCTAGGTACGTAGTACCTTTATGAACTATATGAACGTTTGCCGTTCCTAACAAAATTTTTCTATTTTGGGTGGTATGAAATACCTGTCTATTTGAAGAGAGTGGTGTAATCCCTCTCGATGTAGAGGGCTGATGGGGAGAAACTAGGTTCGGAACTTGTGGTGTTGTGGCCGTCGAAGACGAACCAGCAGTGGAAGGTTCCCTGTGCAAAAGAGTGTGGTGCCTTTTATGACATACCCTACAATTGTGTAGGCTACTACAATGGTTGACTAGATGTTTAGCGGACAGACAGTTTAAACAAAAATTATGTCTCTTAATAGTATTAAATCTTTCAGGAA